AAAAGGAATGTAGGCCTATTTCAAAAAACTGTTTTTTTTTTTTTTTAGCTTTCTATTCATCAAAGAATCCTGGAAAAAAATTTCACAATAAGCAGCACAACATTTTCAACATTGATAATAAGGATTTTTTTCTTGAGCATATTAGAATGATTTCTGAAGGATCACGTGGTGCTGAAGACTGCTGAAAATTCATAAAATGCATTTAAAAATATGTTCAAAACGAAAACATTATTTTAAATTGCAATATTTCACAATATAACAAATGTTTAAAGAGTTCATTTAGCAGTGTTTTTCAAAATAAAATAAAAAATCTCTATGATTGTCCAGTAACTAGTGTGGTATTGTAAATATTTGAAGTTTAATCATTATTCAAATCATTAATGTACAGCAAAAAGTTAACTGATGTAAATTACATGAATTTATTATAAATGACGACCTGAAATAAAAAACAAGCTGCATCCCTAGTGAATTATTATTGCAGTCATGTGTTTAAACTGTGTTCAATGTGTTCTCTCTGTCTGCTTTTTTGTCAGTTTCGCTGTCTAACAGCAGTCTGAAGAAGAAGAGGACTCGCAGCATCTTCAGCTCATTGTTCTGCTGCCTGAGAAGTTACGATGCCGAGCCCCCCACCACCCCCAACAACAACAGCAGCCCTCTGCCCCCGCCTGTGGAGGAGAACGGAGCTCCACCAAAGGTGAGACGCCCAAACATCCTCTTCATACGGGGAGTGATTACAGTCAATCAGATGCGTATTGATTCAGAGACTATTCAAGGCCTCTGCTTCTTCTGCGTCTCAGCATCATGTGTGTTTTGCTGATGTTGAACAGAAGTCATCACAACTGTCTCTCTCTTTTTCTGTGTAGACTGTATCACATTTGTCTGAGTTATTATCCGTTTGTCTTGTGGTTCAGCACCTCATTTCCTCTCCTGTTTGTTTCCTCTGTCTTCATCTCTCACCATGACCCAGTGTGACCAGGTTGAGGTCATCCCTATCCCCAGTGTATGTATGATTCCACTCCACTCCGTGCCGTCTGTCTGTGTCTGCTCTCGCATGCCGCATGGAGCACAGCACCACAGTACACTCGAATCGGCTTTTGAAGCGGCTCTGTGGACAGTAATGCACTTTGCCTGATGGATGCTTGCATGCACCGTTTTTCCACACAGTTTTGGGATAAGGCATTTAGCAACATGTGTTGGCTATGCCCACCCTCCTCCTTTTTAACTATTGGGAGTATGACTATTTCTGATTTGATAATGCAAGTGTTTTTCCACTGTATTCTAATCCATTTAAAGGCGCTGAGCAAAATTTTCAGCATTAGCACCAAAGTGTTTACAGGGCCCAACAGTACATTTTATATTTAAACTTGCCCTGTCAGTATTTTCACCGGCCCATTGTTAGCAATGCATTTTTATATTTTTATGAAATATAACTATAAATTCAGAATAAAACTTTGAAACAAGCTCAAAATTTTACAGCTATAATGTAGCGAAATAAATTTAAAAAACACATGTTTTTTATTGGAAAATTTTGTTGGAAAACTTTGCCATACGATGCAAAACATTACTGGTTGGTTCATTGTTTAACATAATGTTACGGATGTTTTGAAGACTTAAAGAATTTTTTGGAGAATTCATCAAAGCTGCCTCATAATTTTCAACAAAAGTTCAAAATTTTGGGGGTCAGTAAGATTAAAAAAAAGAAAAAAAAAAGACATTTATACTTTTATCCTGTAAAGATGCATTAAATTGGTCAAAAGTGACAGTATGAAATTATACAAAATATTTCAATTCTAAATAAATGCTGTTCTTTTGAACTTTCTATGCATTAAAGAATCCTGACAAATTCAGCAGAATAAATTACATTTTAAAGTATATTCAAATAGAAAACAGTTTTCCATAATATTACTGTTTTAACTGTATTTTTGATAAAATAAGCAAGCAGCCTTGGTGAGGATAAGAGACTTCTTTCAAAAACATTTATAAAATCTTACGGAACCTAAACTTTTGAACGGTAGTGTACAAAGATTAGTTTCATTCAAAAATCTGTCAGCTAGGCCAGCCTTATTAAGTCTTGGTTTTTACCTTTTTGGAAATCAACCTACAAATGGCTTCCTTATAGCTTTTTCTTTTATGTTATGATATTGATGAAAGTACAAAATGACACACTTCTCCATTCAAAAGGCTCAAAAATGGGTTTGCCGATTATCTGCGATCTTTGATTGATAATGATTTAGTGTGTCTGTTCCGCTGTTAATCTCAGTGGTAGGCTGTTTAAGTCCACTTGGGAAGGTCAGATCTCATGATCAGTCCCTTAATGATTTCGCCATGAGATTTTAGTAGCAATCACTCTATCCACAGAATGATGTTTCTGATTTGCTGATCTGTTGTTTGTGTGCTGACTAGGAATTCACGTCGAGCCGAACTGTAAGTGTTCTAGTGTCTTTCTGTGTTCATTCAACAGTTCGGACCAGGATCATGACTGCACTCCAGCGGTTCCTCTTAAGCTTGATTCATCCAATTAAAAAGACAGGGATTTAGATTAGATGGACTCGACAGCATACTGCCTCCCTCTATAACAAGATTGCCTCCGCTTGTATTGAGACGGTGCAGTGAGGATTAGAGAACTGGATCAAGAGAGGGACCCATTCACCCGCAGCTTATAAATAAAGTGATGGGATTTCATACAGGCAGCCAGTGCTGAAGTCACTCTCTCACTCTCTAACCTTACCTATCCTGCATCTCTGATTAATGTGTGAAAAACCTTTTAATCCCCAACACACGGCTGTAATCCTTTCCACTTCCGCTCGGAAGAGCTGGGATGTTGCTGCGTGAGTGTCATCTGTGCAGCTCAGGAAACACACTTCCTAAAATGCCCGAAGCTGTCCCTTACAATTTGTGTAGATGGTTGGGAACCGTGCCCGTTCCTCATTTCTTACTCATTATGCTGAAGTTACTCCATGTTCATCATGTTTACTCTCTCTGTTTTGCATTTTCACAGCCTCCAGAGAAGTACCTCCTCCCTGAGGTTAACATAAATGACTATGGGAAGAAGTGTGTGGTAATAGACTTGGATGAGACTCTGGTGCACAGCTCATTTAAGGTAATTCATAAATGATTGCCTGTTGAAACTAGTTCAGATCTTTTTCAGCTATTTCCCAAACAAAAACAACCAGGGATGAACTACAGATGCAATGTAACTGTGACTTCTATCTGTAATTTGCTCGGTGACACTGACCCACTGTGACCTATTTTGTGTCCGGGATGTATGTGCATGCGGGCAGAGCTTCCTGTGACGGCCCGGTCAGGGCTCATTTGTCTCTGCTGCTAGTAGGAGGAGAGTTGAAGAGCAACACTAATTGTGAAACTCAGTATTGAGCTTTTCAGCAATTTGATCTGTGAATGAAGCTCAGACATTTAGTCTGGGGCAGGGTTTTTATAGTTAAATAAAACTGAAACTAAAAATTAAAACCATTAAAATATTTTGTTAATTGAAATAAAATAAAATAAACTTTCGTTTCAGCTTGTTGCCAAGGGAGAATTTCTCATTTTAATGAACTTCATACCTAAAATGTAAACAGAAATAACATTTAAGAAAAACTATATAGACATAAAAAACAAAAACTATTAAAAATGACAAACACACAACAAAATTACTAAAGGATTAACTAAAATTAAAATGAAAACAAACTATAAAAGTAAAAACTGTATCAAAATATCAATAAAACTATAATAGTATCTGAGTGATACTAAAATAACACTGGTATGGGGTAGTTTGTTTATAAATGAGAGTTTCAACCCTTTAAAGCCTATTGTATCATATTTAATACACAAAATATTAAGGCCTCTAAATTAGGGCTGTGCGATTAATCGAAATCGTCATAAAATCGCGATTTGAGCTTGCGCGATTTCTAAATCGCTTTATAGCACGATTTTCCGCGCCCCCGACCTCCCGCAGTATGCTATCCGAACCAATCAGAATGCAGCGCGCCTAAATGGAGCACGAGAACAGAACAGACCGGGCGGGCATACAAACGTAACCCCAGGTTCACACACTACGTCTGATGTGCGTATTTTGTCCGCGCCCATATTAACGGATCAGAGCGTTCACACTGCATAAAGCATGTCTGTGTGTGTCAAAATCGTGATTAAAATCGAAATCGCAAAATTGATCAAAGAAATCGCGATAGGTTTTTTTTGTCCATATCGCACAGCCCTACTCTAAATTATCAACATGATCAGAACTTTACTGAAAAAACTGTTTGAAAAAACCTTTGGCCATCTGATTGAAATAGTTCATTTTTTTTTTTTTGTTGTAGCATGTAAAAGGCATTTAAGTATCATTCTAAAAACATCCCACTTCAGGTCATGTTAAGCGTGTCTTTTTGCTGTTAAATCTTTTATGATTTTTATAAAGTAAACGATATAACTTTTTTTATTGTTGGTAATATTTCAAGATGAACACTTAAGTGAACTGAAACAACTTATGTTTACCTAATTGTCCATAAAATTGTCCGTATATTTTTGTTTTGTTTTGTTAAAATGTGAGTAACTGTAATATATTTTGGGCCTCCGAATAAACAAAAAGTCCATGAGTCATAGTATGAGCCATAAAAGCCTGATATACCAAATATGATACTGGATTTTTTTTTTTTTGTCTTGAAGCTCAAACTGTTCAATTAATTTGACACTATTTCACATGTCAGTGAAGTGTGCAGTTCTCAATCTTCCCTCACACTGGATTATTAATATTTGATTAGGCAGGTTTGTGTTGAAAGAGCACGGACGCCCTCTGCTGTTTATCACTGCACTTTCATTTTGCTAATGCAAAATATAACTAAATAGAGCTTATCACGCATCAATAATCTCTGATTGCAGTCAACATGTTTATCAGCTGTTGTTAGTTTATTGTTGTGTAATATTTTAAGATAGTAGAAGTGACTAAAAAGCTCACTGGAGGATTTATTTTCATTATAAGAAAGACAAAGCATGAGAGAAGCTATGATTCACAGAAAATGCATGTTAGCAACTGTCATGTATAAGTTGTTTGGAATAATGTTTAATAGTTGCTGTCACTAAAACATGAGTATGCAAGAAGATAAGTGTTTAGTCTTCAATTTAATACGTACTTTATTGGAAGGATATTTTAGAAAGCATGTGAAAGTTTGGGTGGGTTTAGTTGGGTCGCTTCCTTTACACTTGTCTCCCATCTGAAGCTGTGTCATAACTCGTCTGTGTTGCATTTGTTTCTTTCTCACAGCCCATTAGCAACGCTGATTTCATCGTCCCAGTGGAGATCGACGGCACAGTGCATCAGGTACAGTACTGATGGAAACATGCACAGGTTTCATATTACACTGACATCAGATTGCTGAAGATGTGTATGTATGAGCAATTATAAATGCTCTAGTGTATTCTGTAGCAGTTATGAAGCCATTGATGGGCACCTTTGAAAGCTCACATTGTTTGAGTTTGGCCGCTTTTACGATACGCTGTGAAGTTTCATTTGTCGCTGTATCTGTAGCCGATGTCTCCGATGTGTTTTGTTCTTCTCATACCTGTTAGTGATACAATAGCTGTTGAGAATGTATGCGGCCCGTTGTAGTTTAGATCACGTGTCTTGGTTGCTTCTGTGTCTTATATCGAGAACATTATGGCTCATTGGCTTTAATAGCAAGCTTTCTTACTGACAGGCACATATCTGACTATGGTTTGTAGGTTTCCTTGCAGTCCTCATTGTAGACATTTTCATTTGCATAGACATGGAAATAGTGTTACGTTGCCTTAGCAGCTTGCTTTTTCTCTGTTTTGTATTTGTATTTGTTGCAGGGAGCAGCTGTATGATTCTACAGTGACTCGACTGTTAAGCAGCTTGAAGATCCTCCTTGAACATTTTTGTAAGTGTCTGTTGTATCTGTGTGTGCTTCAGTATGCTGACCCGGTGGCTGATCTGCTGGACCAGTGGGGTGTGTTTCGGGTGCGACTCTTCCGGGAATCCTGCGTTTTCCACAGAGGGAACTACGTCAAAGACCTTAGTCGTCTCGGGAGAGAGCTCAGGAACGTCATCATCGTGGACAACTCCCCTGCTTCCTACATTTTCCATCCTGAAAATGCTGTGAGTTTTGATTGCTTGTGAAACTCTAAACCAAATCGTAGTTTGGTTACTCTTGTGCTTATATAGTAGTGTTGGGGACTGAGTTGCATTAAAAAAAATAAACATAAACATGACGTTCAGAGTCACGATTGACTCTTATGGGTCAGTTTCTTTTAGCGAATCACAACCATACAGCAGAGCCAATGAAGTCTCCCAAATGATTCTTTTTAGTGAATCAAACAAAGTTTAATATTAGTGTTTTTTTTTAATTTTAGGCTTGTGAGAGTTAAATTGGTTAACATGGTTGAACTGGCTGTTCATATGACAATGTGTAGTTAAAGCTACATTGTTTTTTGATAAAAAAATAAAAAAAATTTATTAATGATAAAAAAACCAAACCATGTCTTTACCACATTCACAAACCGCATTAATCTGCAGAGACAAATCAACCAAAACAATGTTCTTCCACAGTTTTATTATAACCCCAAAATGGCCAAAGGTTACATAGAGTACCTTTAGTGTACCCCAGACTGCACACATTATGAGAATCATTGATATGTTAGAAAAAACAGTTGCCACAAATAAGTAAATAAGTATTCACATTTTTCAAATTGAAGTATTTCATATGTAATTGAGGTCAATTTTTAGATTGCATTTATGCCACATATAAAAAAAAATGCAACTTATGCAAAAATAATTAAACATTGATTCAATATTTATATATTTTTTATATTTATATATTATAAAAATTAAATAATTGAATAATCGTATAATTTGGATATTTCATTGCCCAACCCCCCAATGTTTCTGCCTCAAAAGTGCCAAAAGAATCGTCGTGGCACCAGAATCATTAAGAATCAGAAGCAGAATTGATACATTTCTTGGTTCCCATCCCTGTTCTTTTTGTTTAGTACCTACTTCAATTTCAGCAACAATTCACACTGTGTCCTAAACCGGTACAACTACACTCTGGCAACAATTTTTTCTTTTCGTCACACTGAAAGTGAAAGTGCTGCACGGTGTGACAAAATACAGCAATATTTAATGTTCAATATACAGTTATGTGAAAGAAGATTGGAGACCAGTGACATTTTAGAACATGAATGAGATTATATAAAGTGACGTGACATGTGGCCAAGTATGGTGACCCATACTTGGAATTAGTGCTCTGCATTTAACCCATCCAAAGTGCACATGAATGACACGGAGCTCCTGGACCTGCTGCCTTTCTTTGAGGGACTGAGCAAAGAGGAGGACGTGTACGGGGTGCTGCAGAACCTGAGGGGCAGGTAGCAGTCTGAGCCGCAGTGCTCGGCGGCGGGGTGCCAGTGCGAGTCCCCTGGAGGGAGCCGCTCCTCCCTCCTCCAGCCTGCAGTCCTCACCTCACCATACCACCGACGCTCCCAACCAGGACATGCACAGTGACATAAACAGACTTTGAACATTTAATGGACACTCAAATATTTCTCTTTCGAAAAGTGCTTATGATAAACCAAAAAAAAAATCAACTACTACTTTTTCTTTCCCTTTTTTTAAATGAAATATCCAAGTCATAACCATTCTCTGAGGTGTTGCTATGCAGGTAGAAATCAGTATGGTTAAAGGACTGTGGGGTTTCCTCTCCGACCCAACAAAGTGCCTTTTTTGAATGTCATTTTTACTAGGAAAATTAAATTTTTTTACACAACATTTTTCCAGAGAACCTAATCTTTACAAGAATATATGCTTTAAAACGGAGGCAGGTCAGACTCTTTTTATAAAAGCACTGTTAAAGAGGCCAGAGATTTTTAATTGTGTAAAGCTGGGTACACGTCTCCATCTTTGTTCTTCTTGTGCTCCTTTTATTTTAGATTTTGCTTTAGCTTGTGCCATTATATAGACGGAGACTATTATCTAGACTTGTATATGTTTAGTTTGTTTTCTAAGAAGAAAGGAATGCATTTGCACTTGTTAGGTTACTCGTCTCCTATACTACAGCCTCTTTTGCCAACTAACCAAGAAAAAACAGTCTTAAACCGAAGATTGTATTGTGCCAATCACTAATATTTGTCTCGCAATCTGATGCTGAAGTACGTTTTGTTTTCAGCAAACAGGCCTGACGCTAATATTGGTGCTGGGGACAAATGTTTGGACATTTGAAAAACAGAGAATTTTAGCCGCTAGTCTTTTTTGAAACTTTACAGTGATCTGAATGCCTTTGGTGAAGTAGCGTAGACACTGCAGTTGTTCCCCACAGGTATTGTTTTTAAGGGGAAGTGTCCTTTATGGAAACCAGGATGCACAATTGCAAATGTATCCCTTTTATCGTTTTTAATTATTTTCTGTTTGAGTCGTGAGTTATTGAGAACTGATACAGGTCCATCTTTATATTTTTAATTAGTTTCAACTTGTTTTACACCATACCCTGCTGCTGCTACCATTGTATACTACACTACAAAAGACCTCCCTGTAGTAGGGTACCAGCCCAGGGACTAGAGCACTGTGCAGCTTGTGCCAGAGCATCGTCCAAGGGCAGAATGGACGCAGTAGGCCCTTAAAGGGTTTGCTCTTGTCCTCTTGCTCTCCTGAAGAGCTAAACGGAGCCCTTTTCTCCCAGTGAGATTCTGAAGGGGTTTGAAAGTGTTTGGCGCAAGCTGTGCAGAATCTCCATCACCGCAGTGCCTAAGATGAGAGGAGCAGTGGCGGGATGTCCCGATCCGCTGCTGAACAGGCAATAACCTCTCTCTCTCTCTCTGCCCAGAGTCCACCACGTCACAGTTTGGTCACTACACGTTGTCCTTTTTTTTTGTTTTTCATCGTCTACCTCTCTCTCTCTCTCTTCATCCTCTTCCGCGACGGAGAGCGATTCATTCTCACGTTTATGGTCTTCTGTCAGTATTTGAGATGTATGCTTGTTAGCCCACACCTGCTGTTTTCTGCTTGTTGAAGTGCTGTACAGCCTCTTCAATCGTCGGCGCTTTCAAATCTGCTGGATCTTTCAGACTGCCTGGATATTTGGCTTGCTAATATTTTTGATTCCTAGCTTTTCTTTCTAATTGTGAAACACAATACTTTTCACATTTGCAAATTTCACCTTTTTTCTCTGAACACGGTAGACTCCCGGTGATCTGACAGCATTGAAACACTATTGGTTTTGCTCACAGTTGATGTTGTTTGCTTCTGTACTCCATGTGTTTTTCACGTCTAAACTGTCAGGTGCTGTTTTTAATACACAATGTTTTTGTGATGTCACTTAAATATCTCAAGTCTTTTCTTTGATATTTTTTTCAGTAAGCCATACAAGACACTTTAAATGGTCCACAGATTGACTCGGGGGTTTGAAATCAGTTCAGTACAGTGCTGATGTTTGGAGTATGTTTCAAGCTGAATTGATTCATGGTTGTTGTAAGTTTTCTTCCGGACTCTGACGTGTTATATTAAAGCACCTTTTTAAAAAACAACACAATGACTTCTATTTGATTTCTTTTATATTGCAGTGTGCTCAAGTATCCTCAGGTTTTACCATTTCTCCTAAGCAAATGTCAGCTCTTGCAAGGTGTTTTAGCATATCTTAGGTGGTTGAGAGATTTTAGTTTTAGTTCGTTTACAGAATCAGCAGGCAAGTAATTGGGTTTTATGGTTATAAAGTTTGTCATGTTAAAACTTTCTAATGTAATTTCTTCATTAGAAAATGTTGAGTGTAAATGCTGGGAACAAAAAAGCTTTACAGTTTCAGTACGGTGGGGTCAAAGTCTGAGATTTAATAGAAATGCTTTAATTTCGCATTTGATTTAATATTTTAAATTACATTTAAAATTAATTTACAAATGATCAGTATAGCAATTTGAGATCAAAGTTGAATTTAAAACATGAATTTTTTATGTCTTAGAATGTGGTTTTCCTTCGATTTAATGGCAGCAGCTCAAGAGCTGCATGAACTCCACAAGTTTGTGTAAATCCTGATCATGTTCTTCAGCGTGACTTGAAATGATTCAAAGAACAGACCACCCATACAAAGGAATTGCATGAGCAATTTGCTAATTGGTCACCTACAAATAGTGCAGAATCTTAAATATTTCATATGTACTTTATCATAGCATGTTTTTAAAAGTTGGACATATGAAGTGATACTCTTTCAAATATGCATCAAATTCTCAAATCAGCTGCTGTTAAATAGGAAGTTTTGTGATGTTACCAAAGTAATGTGGTGGTTCTTCTGCTTTCATGTGGACTGGATGCCCACACTAATAGAGCTCACTCTTACGGCTTTGTAGATGTGAAACCAAGAAGTGTCTAAACTGCCAAATATGGCAGGACTGATCCTGATGTTTATTACAATTTTAATATGTTGTATTACAATTTCTTTATGCCACTTTTATCTGGTCGAAGCAATTACAGAAGAAAAAGAACTTAAACACTACAGTTTTGAATAACTTACATTTATTTCGTCTTTACATAGATGTATACAGTTGGTAATGTTGTATCAGAATCACTGATTTTATGAGTATCAGCCAAAAATATGACAATTTAAGCACCTCATTTAATGACAACATAAATCAGATGTTGTATGTAACTACATAAAAGACAAAGATACAAACTCTAATGCAGGCTTTAAAACATGTATCGAGAGAAACTACCCAGAGGATGGAGTGGTTGTGTTTATTTGTAATTCCACCAAATTATTCCTCGCTAAATTCTGAATAACTAAAAACAGTGCTCAGTTTAACTAAGACTAAGGTTGACACTCAATATTAAGTAATCTATTTGGCATACTAAAATGTATAAATGTATTTTACAAATTGTAAAAAATACAAAAAAGTTATGCGAGACCATCATATCGCACCTTCAGAAAAGTTGCTCTATTCCCACCATTTCTCATTTACCCATAAGAATCACTCAAGCTGCCTCATTTTTTCCGACCCTTTGAGACGTCTGCGCTGTTGAATATAGCCACATAAGATCATCTCCGATGCAGTATAAAACCTGCACCATCATGTGTTATTCAGCATCCACAACCATGATGTGAACGAAAAGCCCAGCGGAGGAAAGGTGGTCTCCTTTCTTAGTGAGCAGTGGCACATGGTGATATCCTGTGGTATAACACAAATACACCACTTAACAATATGAACACAATATGCTTATGTGGCTATAGTAATATTTATCATGCATACTTAAGACAGCAACAGCAATTTAAGTTTTTAATAAAAATAAAAAAAAGTCCCAAACAAAGAGATGAGCATGTATTTCAACACACTAACCGTTCTTTAGGCAGTTGAACGGAAGTGTGTACTGGCCAATGAATTCGTTGTTCGAACTGGAGTCGTAGTCCTCAATCAAAAAGCGCACAAGGGCTAGATCTGGCACACGCACATTAAACTGGAAGTTCTCATTCCACATGGGGTTGAAGCCTTGAGAGACAACAGAGCGATTAGGCAACATCTTGATCCTGAGGAGAGTTCTGACTGAGTACAATTAGAGAGTTATTGTACCGTTATTCTCAATGTACTGTGTTTCCACCACAGTCATATCAGTTGGCACACCGTAGATCTGCACTTTCACAATGGGATCAACAATAGAGGACTCCCTTTTGCTCACTTTGGGTAACTGCTGGGCTGAGATTACCTATTAGACAAACAGAAACAGCAGTGCACATTTAAAGGGGTCATATGATGCGATTTCAATTTTTCCTTTCTCTTTGGAGTGTTCATGCCTAGAGCTGATCCGTGCTGGTCGCTGAGAAAATACTTCAAGTTCATGCTGTCGATCGCCGGATCGGCTTTCACCGTGGATGAAGTGGAGTCCAGCCCTACGTATATACTTGGTATATACACCAAGGCTGCATTTTCTGCAAAATACATAAATTTTTTTTAAATTTCAATCTTAAATATCAGTTTTCTATTTTTATACATTTTAAGCATCATTACTCTAGTCTTCAGTGTCACAGGATCCTTCCAAAATTTTTATATGCTGATTTGGTGCTTAAGAAACATTTCTTATTATCATCAACGGTGTTAAAAATGCTTTAAAAAGTGCAGCTTAATATTTTTATGGAACCTTTTGATAAATAGAAAGTAAAAAAAAAACAGCTTTTATCTGAAATAGAAATTAAGCTCTTTCCTGTCAGTTTTGATCAATTTAACGAATCTTTGCTGAATAAAACTACTTTTATTATTTTTTAATAATCTTGAAGACTTCAAACATTTGAACAGGAGTGTATATTGTTTTAGATGCCGTAACTGGCAACCACCTTTCAAGTTTCCCAAGTCTTTCACCACTTTTATTCAACATTTTGCCTTCTGTGTAAATGACCATATTTTACTTATTTTACTAAACAACGAAATTTGTATAGATTTGAAGAGATAATTTTTTATATTTTAATAGATAATTTTGTTTATGAATAAAATGTCTCTCTTTTTGCGGTCTAGTAAAGTGATGAATATATTACAGAAAAATCTGAATGGCTCTTTTCCTTAAGTCACCTGCTCGTTTCCATATTCAAAGTTGTGTGTCAAAGGTCTCCCTCAAGCAGAACCATCATCTGTGAGGTTATGCACATTTCTGATTATTTCGCAGAGTAATGAATCTGTGCAGCTGAACAGAGTCCTGGGGCCCGTTCTTCGTACGTCGGTTATTACATCCGAGATGAAATGTCACATCCAAGATGATATCATCGCGCTAATCAGGATCTGGCTAATTCGGTTCTTCGAACGCACCTGTTGTTGATGATTAGTATGGCTGGATTGAGTTATCTGAGATAATTGTGCGTTCATGGGTTGGTTTAAAAGGGGCTATGTATCGATACTCGAAACCACGATCAGCAATGCAGCGATTGGCTGGTGGCAAGACAGCAACGCAATGACATCATATAATTAAAAAAGACACCTGATGAAAAACTTGACAAATTTTTGGACTTTTATAAGGAAACAGCCAAGCGAACAAAACTACATAAATGTTATAATAGATAAATGAAATGGGCACTGTTTTTATTTTATTTGAATTTTTTACATGATTTCCAATTATTTATATTCACGATTTCTAATATTTTTACAGGCTTTACATTTTTATTTCAATGTAGTAATTAGCAATTCATTTAATTTTATCAGCTAACTGATTTAGCAACGTACGAAGAACGGGCCCCAAGTCTGCATCTCTTGACATGTATTTATGTGTTTCATAGCCTGTGTTGTGTCGGAGCATGACATCACACCTGCTTCCTCCGCCAGTTTCACAGCTTTTCCCTCTTTGAAGGAGGCCATCTCGTAAAAGGACTGCTTGTCCCGGGAATCCTCAAAGCCACGGAAGTGGACACTTTTGCAGTAGATCACGATATCAGACAGCTCCTTCGCCAACTTCAGCAACTTTGTTTTCTGTTTTGGGTATGTGTATTTATGAAATAAAATAAATATAAATAATTTAATTAAAAAGAAATAAAGACTTTTTTTCTTTCCATGGTCACATACGTAGGCAAAAAAGAGAGCACAGAAATCAGCTTACACTAGACTTCTTTTCCTGGTCTTCTTCGTCACCTTCATCATCTTCTTCCTCTGTTACACTGTCTTCCTCTGCTGTTTTGGACTCCTCTGAAAACATGTCCTCAAGTTTGTCTAGTCTTTTCCCTTTGACTATGAACCGGCCTTTGAGTTCCTAAATAATAATAACAACACAGCCATTAAATATGAGCCTGCTGATTTTGCCATCAGCTCCTATTTACATTTATTCATTTAACAGATGCTTTTACCCAAATTACTCTATTCAATGAAAGTCATGCATGTTATTTTTGTGTTTTGCCTCTTTTTGCTGATTCCGTTTTCATTTTTTTTAAATGTAATTCTTTTACACAGGTAGCAGTTAAATGTGCATTTAACAACTAGTGTCACCAGAAGGAACTTACAGTTGTCTATGAAAAAATCTAAACAATTTCTCATATCTCAGCTTAATGGTGCAGAATACTATCAAATTTTTATATTTCTACACAGAGAAAATGCACAAAATCTGAAGAGCATATTTACTGCATATTGATTTTGACATTTCGTTCTGTGTTTCTAACACAGCAGTTTTAAGAAGCTTTTGCTGTAACTGGAGAGCAGCAGTGTTTCTATTGTTGACTGTGACAGTGACCAGGACAGGCCACACCTTGACTGAGGCGAATGGAAAACACGGTTATGTAAGCTATGATAATCACCCGCACCCCAACAGACAAAGCACCAGTCACCATAGTAATCCAATGCATGGTCTTTAAAAGCAGCTCACCACAAAACCATGATGAACCAACATTATCACAGAACTCTGTATTTGCTATTTCCTCATTTCATATCTGTGCTGCATGTGAACATAATTGATGTGCTGACGGTGTCAGTCTTGTGTTTTTGAAGAGCTGGCATTTTAATTATTGGGATTGGTTGAAACAAAGAGAGTTTGAGATGCAGCGATGATTTTAAATAGAGAGCAGCTGTATAAATTCCAGACATTCCAAACAGAATCCTGAAAGCATCTCCAGTTCAGACAGGCTGAAAAATTATCTTGGGTCTCACATCTGAAGCCACAGCTACTGGATTAAATCAATCTCTATCTTTAAACATTTTAAGTAAATATTCAATTTGTAATTTAGATTACACAAATAAATGGCACATACTCCAGTGTGCATTTACTCCAAACAGACACCCTTTATTTTGGTTTATTACTCTGCTCACTAGAACCCTTCTAATTGGTCAATCAAGGCATTTTGCAGTCAAATATTTCTGAATTACAACCACTGAACATTGGTACCATATCAGTTATCTTCCAATATATTGAGTTTTTTTTTAATCATTATCAGTATATACAGATGTTGAATTTTGTGTTTTTAAAGAATAACTTTTCAAATAGGTAATTTAATCATTTAATGTTAAATGCAATCATTCACTAGCATTACAATGATTGAGTTTAGTTTAAATTTTACTTTAGACAATAGTATAGAATTTTAATACCTGCCAATTTAATATCTGCCAACACTAATATCGATATTAGTGTGTGCAGTTTTTTTTTTTTTAATCTCCATGAAGAGATATTGAATCTTCAGTTCCAGGTATTGTTGGTTGGTTAGTTGTTGGTTGGCAGATACAAATTAAACATTCAACAACATAATATCATAAATACAATATTTTAAAAAACTCTACTCAGACAAAAGACAAGATTAAGCACACTTTCTATAAAATATTCTTCAAATGTACTTGTGATAAAAATTGTAAAAGTTTTTCTGGGTCAATGAATAAGTCCTTGAAAGTTTTCCAGGTATTGTTATCAGCAACAAAAATCTAATTTTGGCTAATTGCATCAGCCAGAATGCTAATATAATTGCATCCCTACTATATATTTTGATCACCGTTCCTGGCAACCAATCTCCAACACTGTGCTAGTTTCATGTCTCTCATATTACTCCATTGTCTCTTTCTTCTTACATGATAAAAATAATTTCAACTTGATAATTCATGTCCATTGAATTTCTTATTTGCAATTGGGTGTGTAATAAGCAGGATAGCATACAATCAGTCATTATTACAAAACAAACCCTCTTAGACTCGGTTTCCTGAGCGCCCTGGCAGGTTTATTTTCTATTTTATAATAACCAGATTAATGTACAGTATCCCTTACATAATATTGCATCTGAATATGCCTGTATAACATGGCCAAGCGGATTACTGCGCCTTAACATCTAGCAATCACTAACCTCTGGGGAAGGGAGGCATGTGGGCATCTGATCTCCGAGGGGTTTGGTGACCAGAGTGCTGCCCAGGATGGAGATCAAGTGCTGAGCCATGATCTTCTGCTGCTCCACACTGCAGTGGTTCTCCAAAGACAGGATCACAGGATACTCGGTCGTCTGGTAAAATTAAAAAGCACATTGTTGACAGAAAGTACACCAGTAGGACAAGCTCTACAAGTCCCAAAACAAACTAAATCCATCACTAGATTATCTTGGCAAAATGACAGCTGTTTGCATTCATTATGTAACTAATATTTTTACCTTAAAGGCATATTCTTTAATGGCTTTGATCACATCTTTGAAGAGGATCTTTGAGGTGAGAGTGTATCCATGATAAATGACCGGCTCTCCATCTGATCCATCCCAGCAGTCCATCTCCACACAGCGGCAGCCCTTAAGAAGTGCTCTGTGGAGGGATAATGCAACATGGTACTCCAAAACTAAGCCAAAAAAAACATGCTTTTAGAAAGGTACATTCATTCAGATGCTTTCATTATGAAACTAGTAACTATCAAATTAAATTATGCGCTTCATCTTTAAACTATTTCATTAAAATGCAAACAGATGTTGAATGATTGACATCATTACTTTATGTACGCCTCAGTGCTGCTGGGTCCTTTGAGCTGGTCCTCCAGCAGGTATGTGTTGTGAGAAGAGGAGATGAAGTAATGGTTGAGAGGCTGCTTCATGTCCTGGTAAACACTTTTATGAGCCGGGTTAAAGATCAGTCCCTCTGGCTGGTGCAAGTACATTAGGAAGCCATCCTTTGTCATTTGCTGTTTGGCTTTGGCTACAAGAAGTGCAAACACAGACACGCGATTACAAAGAAGCTATATTGCATTTTTGTTATAATGAAAATAAATACATTTACTTACTTTTTAAAAATGTTTTTGAAAGAAACATAAAAAAAAAAACTGTAAAATTGTGAAACGTCATTCTGATGTTAAATTAAATGTATTTTAAAATGTAATTTATTTCTGTGAAGGCAAAGCTGAATTTTCAGCAGCCATTACTCCATTGTCACATGATCCTTCAGAAATCATTCATAATATGCTGATTGCTCAAGAAACATTTCTTCTTCTTATTAATGTTAAAAATGTAAATGCTTAATATTTTCGTGGAAACCAAGATACTCTTATCAAGACTCTTTGATGAATAGAAAGTTCAAAAGAACAGAGCATATTTTGTAACATTTAAAACGTCTTTACTGTCTATTCTGAGGCATTACCATTTTCATCAAGCTCATATTTCTCAATAAGCTGAAGGGCATCATTCTGAGACGCATCCTCTCTCTGTTCGTTCAACAGGAAGTTCAGCAGGTCAGCGGCGCTCATAAGACCGTCTGTCTTTGCATACTCTCCATAGATGACCTCAATCTCCTCTCTTTGTGTCAGGATTTCATAGAAATGCTTGATCTCCTTGCCCTCTAGGAATCCGCACTTTGACTTGTCACATTTCTGAAAGAGACGAAACAGTAGTGTTTCTAGTCAAGTTATTTCTTGTGTAGGTAACACTTTATAATACTGTTCCATTTGTTAGGATTAGTTAACATGAATTTAGTAATCTTAGTTAATGTTGATTTCAACATTTACTAACATATTAATAAAATCTAAAGTTGTATCTGTTAATAAGGTTTAATGGATGTGTGCTAAAATGAACTAACAATGAAGATTTGTATTTTTATTAACTTACCTTAAAGTTGAATAAATACTGTATAAAATGTATTGCTCATTGTTAGTTAATGCATGCCTGAGATGTACCTGTAGCACTGAGAGAACAACATTATAGATGGGTAAACTAGGTTAGATTCCTGCATAATTACAGAAATATTACCTGAAAGAGCATTTCAGCGTAGTCTTCATCCACCTCAATGTTGATGTCTCGTAGAAAGCTCTTCAGCTCTTTCTGACTGATCTTGTTATCAAAGTTTTTATCTGCTTTGCGCATACAGCTGTAGATCCAGCTAGAACTCTGATGTAAGGACAATTAGAAAGAGATTTGAAAGAATAACGCTCGAAATGCACCTCAAAATCACAGGCGTTTGAAAAGGATACTGCTCTGTTTTCTTCTGTGGAGTGAGGTTCTTTATATTTGAGATGACTTTCTCCAAACCACCAACCCACTTCTTGGCTTCTTCCTCAGAGCTGGCGATCAGGTCCAGGCCCTTCTGTTGGCTCTTAAACAAGATGGAGAACGCTCGACCCTCCACAGACTCCTCTGTGTATTTCCTCAAACCGTCCGTCTGCCGACCTGTTCGTACCTCCTCAATGTCCTCAACACAGACTGAGTGAGAGAAAGAAACATGATCACAACTGTACTTTATAAAATGAAATGAATACAGAAAATATATAATGGAGTAATGTGTAACAATGTGGGTCCCACTGATCCCGGACCCTGATCATATATTTTGGATGTTTTATATAAATTTTTTTTTTTTTTGTGATTCACTGATGTCAATTTTTTAAACTGCAAAAATGTTGTATCTCAATTTTATTTTCTGATAAAGAAAATAAGTATGTTTAAAGTGATTTATGCTTAAAACGAGTAAAAATAAACTGCAAGACAAGACATTTCCTCAAAGCAAGTTTTTTCCCCCCTAGTTTCTAGTAGGGCCTGCTGTTAAACGCTGGATCACAGTAATATGCATATTGAAATTCTATGTACAAGAGGTCATGCATAATAAAATAGCACTGTAAGCTTGATTTTAGACATTTGCATAAAAATATACATACATTTTAAACATGGCCCCAGGCTTATGTTTTACAGCACCAGTCACAAAATGACAATATAACTTTAATGTGCTGTAGTAAAACACACAACTTGTACACAAATACATAATTTGGTGAAACATTTGCTTCATCAATAGCCTTTTTAATTAGTTACACTTATAAATGATATACAAATCGTCTTGGCAGTGCTTTAAAGCATTTAACAAAGGCACCGTTCAGAAATTTGGGATCAGTAAGATTTGATGTTTCTGAAAGTCTCTTATGCTCACCAAGGCTGCAATAATTTGATTAAAAAATACAGTAAAACAGTAATATGAAATTTTATGACAATTTCAAATAACGTTTCTGTTTTTTATATATTTTAAAATTTAATTTATTCCTGCAAACTGTCAGCAGTCATTACTCTAGTCTTCAGTGTCACATGATCCTTCAGAAATCATTTTAATATGCTGATTTGATGCTCTAAAATCATTTATTATTATTACTAATCAATGCTGAACACAACTGTGTTACTAAACGTGACCCTGGACCACAAAACCAGTCTTAAGTGTCAATTTTTCAAAATTGAGATTTATACATCATACATTATACATACTGAAAGCTGAATAAATAAGCTTTCCATTGATGTATGGTTTGTTAGGATAGGTTTTGTGGTCCAGGGTCACAAATATGTTTTGTGGATACTGTAATACATTTTAGGACTCTTTGATAAATAGAAGACCAAAAGAAAAACATTTATCTGAAACAGAAATCTTTCGCAACATTATAAATATCTTTACTACCATTTTTGATAATTTTAACGCATCCTTGCCGAATAAAAGTATTCATTCCATTCTTGTCACAGAAAGATTTGCCAATAGTTCAATAAATCACAAGTAATGTCTTTAAAGTACTAAAAATATAGGCCTATCAAGATTTTTGAACCACACCCAGTGAACATTGGCTACAGTCCAATTGATTTTGTTGGCGCAAAACTGATAATAGTATCCAACATGGTTAAAATGACTTTACTATTAAAAAAAGCAAGAGAATTTTACTGTCACATACTTTAATGCTATACTCCCTGTAATAACATATGACAACTTCATTTAGTCTTTATGCATTAATTTTACCCTGGCCTGTTTATACAAAAAACATTTTTTGCTATTAATCCAATATAGGAAGGAAGTGCTATAGTAACTTCTCTGAGAGACACTCATCACCATTCATTCAAACGAACAAAACACATTGTGGGTCAGTCCAGGACACGAGCGCACATGCAAAGAAAGGGCTGACTCCGACACACCCCTGTGCACATCCTTTTTGGGACTCACATGTCTGTTTGGACTTCAGGGTCTTTTTAGATTCATGCCACAATGTCTTGCAGTCCTCCTGGAGTTTGTAGTAGCGTGTCTTTTTCCATGACCCCGAGCGGACTTTCAAAAGATCTCCACCATTCATCAGGAACTGCAGGTCCTTGTCACCCTCCAAACCTGTGGGGAGGACAAGAGCAAGACCGCTCACATAGCCATTCTTTCAAAGCTCATTCTAAAAGACAGATTTGTGGGTTTTTTTCCACATCACAACATCCTTTTTATGAAGGCAGAACAAACAAAAGGATTGTATTGTCCCTCTGTGGTCCAATTGAGGAAGGAACCCAGTCCAGCTGCTGAGGAAGAAAATGCAGCTTAAACTTTTATGTAAAACACAAAAGACTCTGCCTAAAAGACTTGAACACATACTGCAGACACCTGACACCAACCAGGACCAGCTTTTAGGTCACAAATGAATTATTTACAAAGGCGTGGTGTGTATTTATGAGTACTTTAAACACAACCATGAATCAATAGGTGTGATGTGTTCTTGCTCTTACTATAATAGCTCCCTACTTACACTGCATTCTAGATAGGCAAGTTACAAAAGGGAAAAAGAGAATTTCCTCGTTGCTAGATATCCTTCGAGATGGTGTGTCAATGAACTGCATACATAATATGACCAACTGAATGCCAGTGTAAAGGCAAGTATGAAAGGTCAGGTTATCAGATTACACATAAGATTATTGTTATATTTATTGTCCTACCTAGACGTTTCAAGTTGTTGCTCGCTGTTGTTTTGATCTGCGCGCGATATAAGGACTCTTGAGACTTGGTCCGCACAGGCTGTCTTCGTACACACTGCATATTGTGAATATTCCGCAACAGAAATCAAAACTGCTTCTGAATAAGCGAGCCGCAAACATATCCCAATGACCTGCTGCGTCTTAACGTTACTCACTTGTCCGCGGACTCGGGGCGTGTACTAATTCAAAGTTCATCCCTAGAAAACACTAGTGATACGTGATCTCATCGAGTGGCTATATTTGTTAGTGAATTCAAACAACACGTCAATAATGTTGATTTAAATAAATATTTAATAAAGTATACTTATTAAAATTATACTTGAGACGACAGTCAAAAGCGCCAAGAACGAATACTACACGCGACAGCTGCTGAAATACCTGTTGGGTTTTGGCGTGTCTTTCTGTGCAGAGGCAATGGCGCCATCTAGTGGCTGCATTTGCCAATCCAAAACACGGCAGCCACACTCCAGACCTCATCCCATAATCTCCGGTGGATTTATGTTAACCCAAGATATGCTGTTCTATGACCGTTTCAGAGTTATACAGGGCCTTCTTAATTTCAGAAAAGTGGTTAATGCTTCACTGTTGGCATTTGGCATAGTCTATTAAACCAAGTGAGAACTCAAATATTCCACTCAAATATTATTTTACATACGTGTTAATAAAAGGTAGACATACTCTGTGAAGAGCATTTTATTCAGAGTGGTGTTTTTGTACTGCAATGTCAATATAAAAATGTATATTTTTTTAGGTGTTGTTTAAATGTATAGGGCCAGGCCAATGATATTACTGTTAAAACTAAAACCATTAAAAAAAGTTTATCAATTGAAAATAAACAAATAAATAAAATTAAATATAAATATTAGATGAGAATAACTTGAAACATTGGCATCTACATGTAATCTAAAGTGTAATCTTGGCTTCTAACTTGGCATCTAAAGTTTAAATTAAAATAAAACCTAAACTAAAATTCACATGAAAACTGAAAATATAAAAAATAAAAGCTGTTTCAAAATATGAATAAATATTACAACAGTATATAAATAATGCTAAAATAAAACAGATAAAGGGCATGTTAATTCAAGTGGCTTTGATGTTTAATTTATACAAATTTTTAACTTCATTCTGCATTTCTGTGCCTAACTTTCACTGTAAACTTTTGAAGTTGCACAACAGCTCTTTTATGCATATAAAGTTCTGGCCTAACGGTCTTTTGTCGACATTGCATTATGTTTGTTTCAGATTCATAAAAGTATGTATGTACAGAATGATAGCTTTCTGTTAAAGAAAGCAAACACTTGCAGTGGGGTTCTATGAAATTATTATTATTATTTTTTATTTTTTTAATATTAAGACAATTTGTAGTGGGTCTATCTGCCCCCACAAACCCTTGGGCTGCTTCCTGCTGCCATTTCAGTGAGAGGGAGGACAGTTATATCCTATTCATATCCATCTGGATGAGAGAGATACTGGAGATTCAGGAGGCACGCAGTCATTTAGATGTCTTTTTAGAACCCAAACGTAGGTCATGTTTACTGTTGCATCTTATCACCTTCTGGAAAAAAAAACCCCTGCATAAATTCAATATTTAAAAAAAATAAAAATGTTTCTCTTTTTAAGAATATTTGTGTAACTTTTTTTCTAAAACTGTGATCTGTTGAAAAATACCGTAAAATGAGTTAAGCCTTGGTTTAAAGAAACGAGTAAACCCATAATTTGACAGACGTTTCAGGCAGAGGAACTAAAGTAATGAAAGGGATGTTATGTGAGACAGTCGACGGAATGTTGCTCCAGGCTACTGACACCTCTCCTGTGCCCCATCCTAGTCTAGTAGGTTATTATATTGCTGCAAAATTGGAGCACTGTAAGAGATGGACAAATACACCCAACAAATGACAATACAAAGTTGCTAAGGGTGTGGCAGGCATATTATGTCCTCTAACTCAATTTATACTATACACCACCCATTCATGCGTTCATCATACGACATCCACAGAAATAGCTGACTGAAGACAAATAATGTGTGATTTTCAAAAGTATTTTCAAACTTAGTGCACAAGTTAAATCCAATATCTAATATATGACATAAAAATAAACTTGGTTTATCTTCGGTTTCCCTCTCCATTGTTTGCAACATCGACATTTAAATGAAATATTTCATAAACCAGTGCGAGGATTCATGCTGGGTAATGGTTAACATTCAGTTGCGCGTGGCTGAAACTCAAGAGCGCGTGCAGCTTTAGTGAACAGGTCTGAACATTCACTGCTCTCAAACTGAGCTTTCCAAAGTTCGTCGAGGGACTTTTGTGACACGCGCAACCATTTCGGAATCATTTTAATACAGTTGCAACAAAAGTTCCGTTTTAGTTTTCATTCAACACTTACATTGTTTCTCAGCAATGCCGTTGGAATCCATTTCTCGTAAATACAGCAGACTGTTATATCCTTCTCGTGCACAATATGTCCAATATTCTCGACTCGAGTAGTTCACACGCAAAAAGAAACAACATAAAACTTCGCAGTCCCGCTGGCGCAAAACAGACGAAACTGAGAGCTGCTCTGTTCCTCCAACCTTCTCGGCACAGGTAGAGATTACCTGCCCATGGCTGCTACCGTCTCAGTAAAAGGTATCTCATGATGAGCCACTCCCACTGATCGCTTCAGCATCTTATAACGGCATGCTGTGCTTTCAGCTGCCTATAGGGGTCATGATAAATTATGCTCAAACGCTAAAGCAAATCCAGAGTGAGATTGAATGTTTGGTTTGTTTTATTCTGGAGAAGCAGTTCTCAAAATTCCACTACGTGCTGCACCTGTAATTAGAGCTGTAGACACTAGTCATGTCAGCTGAGAGAAAATTATGCTCTATTAGTGTATTGAATATGCCAGGCAGCACTAATAACTCTGGAAAGCATTGAACTGGTCATATGGGTAACTATTGTTTAACTTTTTTTATTTTTCTCTCCAACTTTTCTTTTTCTTTCTTTTCCTGAGTCATATAACAGACACATAGGCAGTTGTTTAAAGTGATACAAAGAGAAAGAGTGCATTACTGTGTGGGGTTACTTTCGATTTGATATATAGATTTGAAATATAGAATTTTTAAGGCTATGCACCTTAAAGGGATAGCTCAACCAACAATGAAAATTAACCCAAGATTTACTCACCCTCAAGCCATTCTAGGTGTATATGACTTTCTTCTCTCAGACAAATACAATTGGAGTAGTTATATTAAAAAAATGTCCTGGCTCTTCCAAGCCAGGATGTTGAGATTTTGAAGTTCAATTAAGTGCATCCATTCATCATAAAAAGTACTCCACACAGGGTTTAATAAATAACATATATTACGCCAACATCCTACTTCATCCGCTGGAACGCCACTCTCTCAGGTACGTGCGTACGACAGTTAGCGGAAGCTGGAGATTACAGTTTATGAAGTTTTAAATATGGATATTTTTCTTACACAATCGCATCAATTCGCTTCAGACGACCTTTATTAAACCCCCGGAGCCATGCGGAGTACTTTTTATGATGGATGGATGCACTTTATTGAACTTCAAAATCTCAACACCCATTCACTGCCATTATAAAGCTCTGAAGAGCCAGAACATTTTTTAATATAACTGCGACTGTATTCGTCTGAAAGAAGAAAGTCATATACACCTAGGATGGCTTGAGGGTGAGTGAATCATGGGGTAATTTTCATTTTTGGGTGAACTATCCCTTTTCATTGCATGACAATAATGATAATGAACATGCAAAACAGTGTGATGTGATATGTATATATATATATAAACTAGAAAATATCTTACATAATGGAAGATAAGGTCAAGATGTTGGTAATGAGATTTATGAATGCAATTATCTGTTTTTTGTTTTTTTTTGCTGCTACCATCTGCTATTAGAGAAAAAAAACACTCAAACAGTTGAATTTCTCAAACAGTGAATCTCTTCACTTCAAACAGGCCTATGAAAACTAGAACACATATTCATGTGGTCTTGGGCCTCTTCCTAATTGTGTTGGTTATCATTTCACGTGATTGTGGTCCTCTGTGGTTTGAGGTATTTCTGTGAATGAATACTGTGGCTGAAGAGGTTTAAATGTTGCTTTTGTTGAGGAATTCCTTTGCAGATTGATAGCGATCAAGGAACTCAGCTCTCAGATCTGCTGTGTGACAGCTGAGTATAAAGCATACATTCCTCAAGCTGTTTTTTTTGTGTGTGTAAAATATATCAGATGCTTTCTGAACAAGCCGCCACTGTAAAGCCTTGGTCTTGACTCATTTGTGAGCAGCCAACAGGCAATGCAATATGTATTTTTTTTTTTTTTACAAATGTTTGTATAGTCATTTTTAAGCTTTTTAAAGGCAACTTATCAGTTGATCACTGCTAGATAAGCCAGACTCAACCAAAAGAGACCAACCAGTCAGAAGAAAATAGACAAGTGCCTACAAATGTTTTTCATTGGTCTTCAGTTTCACAAATGTCAGTGTCATATGAACTGATTTGTAATCACAATTAAGATTTAAGCTTAGAAGTAGTTAAAGATTTTTTTCATCAGGCTGTGGTAGTTTCTGTGTATTTTAAGATTTAGGCTACAGCAGGGAGCACAAATGTAGAGTATCAAAACATCAAATCTGCTCCATAAAATCACCATGCTTGCTTATAGACCTTATGCGACAGAGTAACAAGCGCGCTGCCATCTTTAGAATTCTGTCTCTGAACTTCTGTTTTTGCAGTAGCTCTATAGCATCGCTGTTGAAGGGTATTGAGCTGGTGAAGTGGATTTACATATTGTAGAATTGACAAAAGTTATCATGATCATTGTAATGTTCAAGGTGGATGTCATAATAAATGTCAGTAGACCGGGAAGTTTTTAAAACGAACGGTTCATTCACAAATTTGTATGACCTTATGTTCACGCTTTGGAAATACAAAGGTAATACATAAGACAACAAGCGCAGTGCTGAAAGGGGCGGAGCCACATAAGGTCTATAAGTTCAGCTGAAGGTACTATACGCCTTCATAAGGAAATTTTTAAGATTAATGTCATCTGTCTTCAAGTCTTTTGTGCTATTTCCTCAGGAACCGAACAGCGTATTATACTGTGTCAACTTCTAGTGAAGTAATTCTCAAGCACAAATACGTGTAGCCCAGAGGGTTAGGCAAATTTCAGGATGTGATTTAAACAATTACAAATTACAACCTTAAAATATCAGGACTGTCAATTCAGTTTTCAGTCATGTGACTGGCCTGAAGACCTGGCGGGCAAAACATCCATAGAACTGCAGCACAAGCAATTTTCTATCTGTTCCAATACAAAAATATTTAGATCACCTCTCAAAAGAATAAAACAAAGATATGTGAACAAAACACAAGTTTTGGCCATTAGCAATCCATATAAAGCACCCGCCACATTATTTCAATCACTAAAAACAGCGGTACATTCTAAAACATTTAATGTGAAAACACTTAAAGTGCCTTTAAAACAGTGATATTAAAAGATCAAATTCAGTACACACCTTACTGATGATGCGTGCTTTATGCAGGCAAGCAAATGAGCCCGGAATATGAACGCAATGCGCTAAATGGTTAAGCGTCTTCTTTAGAATGGTTTTCTATGGGAAAACATTTAATATTAAACTTTGCGCATTGCGTTTATATTCTGGATTTATCTGCTTGCCTGTACAAAGTATGCATCATCAATAAGGTGTATACTGAATTTGGTCTTTAAATATACATTACTACTAAATGCAATCCTCCTAAAAATAACTGGCAGGCAATACAGGAAAGCTTTGTTTTGCCCTCCATGTGGGCGTTCCTGTAAGGGTGTGACGTCACGTGAAAGCTATGAATAATATATAATTGTGCTTAAAGGGGTCATATGATGCAATTTCAATTTTTCCTTTCTCTTTGGAGTGTTACAAGCTGCTTTGTAAAAATCGACGTGTTTCAGAAAGGCGGGGCAGAGAGGAGAATCAATAATGTACATTATGTGGAAAATAATGTGTTTTTTTAACCTTAAACCGCATAAACACATTGCATTACACCAAATACACAACATAATGTGCTTTTTAGCTTTTTTTGAGTCCCTTTTAGGTTTAGGAAAGAATATGATATGTGTAATTTGCGTCCGTGTGTGTGAATGACACTGATAGTGGAATTCATGTGCACATAGTCTCCACCAATAAAGTATAAAGCTTACAGCAGTGTGTGTGGTTTATTACTGTGGACCCTACTGGATTCAAAAGGAGGCCTGAAAAAGTAGAAAATGATTTAGTGTTGCTCATTTCCAGGAAGGGCAGCAAGACAAGTCACTGTGACTTAGCAGTTACTTCCCAGGTATCATGTGATCCTTGAGAATACATTCTTAGAGAAAATGCTGTATGTATGCAAGTTTTCTTCCAGCTCATTTTTAAAGCATGCAGCTTTTGAAGAACGACCTGTTGCCTGTATGTCACAGGTGATTGGTCATTATTATATCCTGTTGTCGACATGCCATACATATCACACAGAGTACAGTAAATGCCTTTGTAGGCAGAGCTGAGATCTGAGATATCAAAGATAAAATACATGCCTGGACAAATATTTTACAGAAGAATGTCTGTAGAAATGTCAGTGTTAATTCAAGAGTAACACTTCAGACATTTTAGGAGGTTATTGTGTCTTGTCATCTCTTACCGTCTGTGTATGATTTAGCTTGGCCCTGATATAAAAATAGTCCTGGAGTAGTGCGTGTATCTGTGTGCTGTTGTGCCAATCAGCAGTCCCATTCATGACTGGCTTACCCTCCCCGCAGCGTCAGCTCTGGGATGAGTGCTTTTTAACATTAGTCCAATCTGCAGCCTCAGGAAGAGGCCATATTCCCCAAATCCATCTTTATGTTGAAGGGGCCCAGGATAAGAATGCAGACAGAAGGCAGCATTTTGTGCATTGGTTACAACAGTCTGATTACTTTGATCTAAAACTCATTTAATAAAAGAAACTAAATTTATATACACATATAAACTGAAAAAATGCTAGATCATACATCATATGATCATTTTACAGACTTACACACACACACACACGCACGCACGCACGCATGCACACACACACACACATACACACACACACATACAGTATACATAATAAAGTTACATTTAAAGTAATCCCTACCTTTGAATGATTTTGAAAAACAAAACACAATATCACTTTTTAAAACACATTGAGTGTTGAAAGTGTTAATTGTTGAATTAGTGGCCAGTTGCATAAAGTAAACCCTTATGTTAAGACTGTGTCTTAATAACTAGTCTGAAAAACTAGTAGCTATCCAAGGGGCTATCAGTCTTATTTTTCAGATTCAAATTAGACCAATCTATGTTTTTTGTAACTGACCTAAAATAGTTATGACCAATTTTTAAAACATCAAAAAACAAATAAGACCCACACACGAGAAATAGGCCAACAAAGCTCATATTAATTTATTGTCCAGAGGCCACAAGTAAAGTGCAAAAGTGCAAAAAAGTTTTCGGGATCAATAATTTTCATCAGTGCCGTGCACTTTATTTGTGACCTCTGAACAATAAATTCATATGAGCTTTGTTGGCCTATTTCTCGTGTGTGGATCTTATTTGTTTTTTGATCTTTGAACTATTTTTGGATCTACGCACCGCCAGGATTTTATGTATTTGGTTGAGTTGGACTTGTGTCTTGCGCTATGCTTTTCCAGTCTCTCCGATTTTTAAAACAAAAATTAGATGACTAACTTGTAAGACTAGTCTAAGCATTTTATGCAACCAGCCACAGCAGGTCACACTTTCATTTAAGTTTCTATATGTGAATTTAGAGAAACCGAAACTCTAAATGCATGTTACTGATACTGAGGAACAGAGAGACATATAAGGGCTTGTGGGATATGGGCATGCATGGAATGTTCAAAATAATCATCCTGCACAGAGTCTTTCATATAATTTAACACCTGCAGATCTTCTACTGCTAGTACTCACTTTACTATTAATGTTGATGTTTTAATAAGTCAACAAAATGTTCTTGTTCACATTTTAACTTACGTGGTGTGTTGCATTCAGATAAAGTAACCGCTGTTGTTTTTAGAAGAAAAATTTGGACATATTGATTGTTTATGTTTATAGGTATTTTCATGGGCCTGTAAAAAAAGCATATTTTTAATGATCATAACTTAATCTAGCAGATTTGGCCCCTTAAATGGGGCAGCTTAACACTGTAACAAGAATGTGATCATCCTAGTTGGGCAAGATAGTGCCATGTCAAAGACTTTGGGAAACATGTTGCTTCATGCTACGGTACACATTACTGACAGTGTTTTGCTCTGTCCTTTACTGTGACTCTGTTATGACCCTTCTGAAGAAACACTGGGACCATGTTTAAATTTGGCCAGTCTATACGGATAATAAATGGATTAGAAAGAAGAAGTGGAAATTCTCTTAAAGAAACAAAATCAATCTTTCCGTAATTGTCCTAAATAGAAGTATGCTGCAAACAATTCCCCAAATTATTCACTTTTGGTATAAATTAGGCAGAACCATTGCATCTTTCTTTAACAATAAAAAAGTGAGTAATTCTGTAAAAATAGTGCCCTTTAATGATGAAAGCAAAAAGTTTTATTTCAAAAAGTGCAAAAAAGATTTTATTTCAAAAGACATTTCAGAGTTAAATATTTTCCCATAGCTACAATGCTGACCTCATAACCACAAAATCCTCTAAGCTCAATTTCACCATCAAGTCTTTTGATTTAATATCTTCTTTGCTTTTCTTTATTTTTTTATGACTTCATTTTAAAATATAGGGTAGAGTGGAGGAAAACACCCACCTTAAGGACTGTGTTTTTCAGTGAAGCAAAAGTTAAATGTATCCAGAATAGTTATCATAGTTTTAGTGATAATGACATAAATTATAAACCAAGTATGAAAAATTAGTTTTCATGTAGATTTTTAACAACATTTCCATTTGCACCAAGGGGGCGTTTTGCCCCACAGGTGGGGTAAAATGCCCCCAGTTTGACAAAGCAATTTGCTATATACATTTACAGCAAAATCAGAGTACAGGCAGTTTTAGCTTAAAATTAAAAAGAATATAATCCATAATTATGAATTACAAAATTATAATAGCCTATTTGAAAAATATTGATGATGCTATCTGGCTAGCTAACTAGCTACCTGATGCTAACTGGAGGTAATTTTTAAATATAAAGTCCAATTATTTTTATTTTTTATAACTAGTTAGAATACATTTGATGGGAAAAAAGGATTTGATGTTCAAGAACAGAGTTACTACAGTAATTAAGCCATGCCCCTTGGAGGTGTTTTACCCCACAGACTAGGTTTGAAAAAAAAAAAATTCTGAAAATATAATTATATTTTTATTAAAGCTGCAGTCCGTAAGTTTTGCCTCTTTGTCGCCATCTCTGTTTGAAAACCTGAAATTGCAGTTACTTGCGGAATTATCTTCCTTGCGTGGGTTGTACTCTGGCAGGCTCCAGCGCTGATGCATCTAATGTTTTGAGGAGTATGTGTGGCAGTCAGTCACCGCACTGGTGTGGATATTTAATGTACTTCGCACTCACAGATTCTATCCTACGTCTTGGAATATATGACCCAAATAAGAATTTTCACCGTATATTGTCATCTGAACAAGTAAGTAACAAGTCTGCCACGTTTGTTCTGACCAACTGAGGAAAAAAGCATTACAATAAATCGTGCTACCAATGGCAATTTAATCTAAAGATCGGTTAGCTCATATAACATCAAACCGTGCAAATTATTATTATTGTTATACTTTATTCTCAAATTATTAATATTAACGACATCAGCATTGCGTGACTATGAGTATAGTGTGCGTGTAGATTTCAATTTCTGTACAGTCTAATCTCTAATTGTCATACAATTCGAATTTCATACCAAGAAATTATTTTAACCCAAAAAGCAAACTATTTCGACCTGGTTGTCTTTAAAATACAAATCTTGTGTAATCCCAGGCTATCTGTAATCAGAAGCACATTTAAAACTGGAATATAATTTAATTTCATTCACATGTGTTTCATATAATCCTTTCTGGATTACAATCCGCCATCAAAATGATTTTTTGACATTTAATTATTCTAGCTGCTGTGAGAAAAGACTAACGATCTGCCACCTGCAGGATCCTCACATGCCATAGCCTTGTAGCCGGGACAACAGACGTGACGTGATGACGCAGTGCCATGCTCGAATTTCCCGCGAAAACCTACCCCTACCACTCAAATTAGAAAACATTATTATAAGCTAACCCTTGTGAATCGGGCTAAAGTAAGGCGATAGTTTTGAACACTGGCTGGTACTTGCTCAAATATTGATTTTGGATAATTTTTAACCAAAAAAAAGTTAGGGACTGCAGCTTTAAATAACACATACTCCCTATCTACAGGCCTTACTATTACCATATATTATATAACTGATGTTCTACAAAACAACAAGCTTTAAAAAAATGTATTTTATGTAATGTTAATAAGACTTTTAACTAATAGATGAAACAATTTATTTGTTCTGAATAAGGAGAAAGTGCAGAAAAATAACACTGGACCACAGAGGGTTAACGATGGATATTTACAATGAGCGCGTCAACAGCGTGCACCGGAAGTAAATCGCAATGGGACGCAGTCAATTTCAAGTTCATGTTGTCAAAACTTTTCGTCCGATGTCTTGTTTTCTGTATTGAGTAGAGTGACAAGCGCACAGTGCCATAATGGCACACCGATATCTGCATCTGTCAAGAGGCTGCAGGAACTTTCTCCACGCTCTGCTGCCAAATGTCAGATCAACAAACCGTGTGCAATCGGTAAATGTGCAGCTTGACTGTATTCCTCTGGATCTTTCATCACCCCCGTCACCATACGCTGTGATCTGCTCACACATTCGCCATTTATCGTTTGTGTCATCCGTTTGTCTTGTCTGCTGCAGACTGCAGTGTCACAGACCGGAGAGTTTGATAGGAAACAAGGGTCGGCCTGTGTGACATTACGTTGGGTAACGCGTTTAGCTCGTGTTATGTCACAGTTCTTCACATTAGATCTGTTATACCGTCAGGTGTTACCAAAACTGCGTCCAAAACATCAGTTTGTGCGTCTTTAATATTTTTTGTAAACATCGTTATTATAGATATAAAAACCATTTAGAACCTTATTGGCATTTCACTACTTGTTTTCGTAGTATCTGTTGAAAATAGTAGTTACATAATTCTTAATGGGCTAAAAGATATTTGAGGCTTTTGAGCTTCATTGGAAAAACCCTCTTAAGAACTTCTGGAGACCCTTCGAAAAGGGCAGGAACTGTAAGTTGCTCCTTTGAGATATATGATATTTGAGGATCCTAGAGGTTCTCCAGAGGGCTCCAGTGTGGTAATCTAAGGAACCAAACAGTGCCTTGAGTATTTCGTTTTCATTTTTACAGCAGTTTTTCAGCAGTTGTGATTTTATTTTATTTTATTGATCATCTTAATGTATTTACTTTTGAAGGTTCAGGGTGTTGGGCAAATTGCCCTAGACCGAAGATCCTTGCTCTCTCAGGTCTTGGGCACGTATAGAAGATTAAGCTCCAAACCTCCCAAAGGTGTGAATTACAGGAATTATAAAATGACATTGAGTTGCTCAAAGCTGGACTGTTCTGCTAATTGCGTTTTATCTTCTTGCACTGAAGGATTTGAAAAATACTTCCCTAATAATAAAAACGGTGGTCCAAAAAATGGAGAGCCCAAGCCATCCAATGCAGAAGTCAAAGGTAAAATCTCTCAAAAGCTTATAATGTGAATTAATTGCCTTTTATATGACACACAATATAATCATGCTGTTTTCTGTATCTGTTTTAACCCAGAGGCCAAACCAACCAATGCACAGAAGACCACTGGTGGAAGTGGAAGTAGTGGAGGAGCAGGAGGAAAAAGAGAGGGGCGAAAAGATGAATCCAATTGGTACAGCCGTCTCCAAAAGGTTAAATGACGTCTAGCAATTATTAGTAGTAATATTAGGCTTATTGTAACATTTAAAGCTTGGTTACTACTGTTTACTGAGGCAGATGTAATGATACGTCACCAGAGAGAAGTCTGACATCTAATAGGAAGATCAAGAGTAACATTTTGATTAAAAAAAATGTATTTCATGCATTTAAAAAAATTAAACATATTGCATTTATGAATCATTCACAATAAGATCAATAACATGCACAATATCATGCCCTTGTTTCTCTGTCACTCTCACGCAGGGCGATGTGCCGTGGGACGATAAAGAATTCCGTATGTATTTCCTGTGTGGAATGGCCTTCTGGACAGCTGTCACATATTATTTCTTCTTCCGAGATGGAGGAAGAGAGGTCACTTGGAAAGACTTTGTAAATGGTTACCTTGCAAAAGGAGTGGTATGTAATTACTTGTATTTGATCTGTATTTGCAATCAGCGTTGTTTGATATTTCTTTCCACTTCCACTTTAACTTTGATCCAGGAAGTTATGTATTTTATCTTTGCTAGGTTGACAGGTTGGAGGTTATAAACAAGCGATATGTAAAAGTCATCTTTACCCCCGGTAAAACTCCAGTTGATGGGGTGAGTTCTTTACAAGGATTCAATACAGTTATGTTTATTATTTTTAGATAGTCATTGGTAACCAAGCCAGTGATCATTTAATTAAAAAGATTATCCATTAGCCAGGTCAGTCCTACATAGACTACCATCCAAAAGTTTGGGGTCAGTAAGATATATTTTTTAAAGAAATTAATACTTTTATTCAGCAAGGGTGCATTAAATTGGTCAAAATCGACAGTTAAGACATGTATGTTACATGTAATTTCTGTATCAAATAAATGCTGTGCTTTTGAACTTGCTATCCATCATAGAATCCTGAAAAAAATGTATCAAGATTTCCACAAAAATATTAAGCAGCACAACTGTTTTCAACATTGATGTTAATAAGAAATGTTTCTTCAGCACCAAATCAGCATATTAGACTGATTTCTGAAGGATCATGTGACACTGAAGACTGGAGTAATGACTGCTGAAAATTCAGCTTTGCCATCACAGGAATAAATTACATTTTCAAATAGATTCAAATAGAAAATACAACTATTTTTTTGCGTGTGTGTATCTTTGATCAGATAAATGCAGCTTTGGTGAACATTAAAAAATTACCGACCTCAAACCTTTGAATGGTAGCATATGTACAGTATATATTTCTCTTTTCTCTAAAAACTATGCATAATAATGACACACAATGTGATCCTTTCTTCAAGCAGCAATACGTGTGGTTCAACATCGGCAGTGTGGACACATTTGAGCGGAACCTGGAAACTGCTCAGCTAGAGATGGGCATTGAAGGAGAGAACAGACTGCCAGTGGTCTATTCCACTGAAAGCGATGGGTGAGATATTGACGTAAATTCACAGTTGTTGATTTGCAGTATCAACAATCAAACTAGAAGCTTAAATGCTGTGCAAATTTACTTCTTAATTTCAGTCTTATTCCTGTGTCATTTTTAGGTCGTTCCTCCTTAGCATGTTGCCCACCATATTGATCATTGGGTTCTTACTGTTCATGCTGAGGAGAGGGCCTGCTGGGGCAGGGAGGCCAGGGAGGGGAATGGGTGGGCTCTTCAGCGTCAGTGAGACCACTGCCAAAGTACTACGAGATGAGATTGACGTCAAATTCAAAGATGTGGCGGGCTGTGAGGAGGCCAAATTGGAGATCATGGAGTTTGTAAACTTTCTTAAGAACCCAAAGCAGTACCAGGATTTGGGTGCCAAGATTCCAAAGGTAGCGCAAGACTTTTACATAACATTGCATAACTGACTTGTAATTTACTAAGTCAACTGAGATTTCAACAGAAGGTTTAATCTTCTTGTTTAGGGGGCTATTTTGACTGGACCCCCAGGCACAGGAAAGACTTTACTAGCCAAGGCCACTGCGGGAGAGGCCAATGTCCCCTTCATCACTGTGAATGGATCAGAGTTCTTAGAGATGTTTGTGGGGGTTGGACCAGCCAGGGCAAGTACATTTTCTGTTTCCTATTATGAGCTTCATGGTGTTCAGTATGCTTTCTAACAAACTTTAACACAGTGTGACTAAAACAATGTAATTTTGTGTAGGTTCGGGATCTCTTTGTATTGGCCCGGAAGAATGCCCACAAATTAAGTACAATTTACCTTGATCTTCAAATTCAAAAGGTTTTCACCCCCTGGCTCTTAATGCACCACGTTTCCTTCTGGAGCATCAGTGACACATTTTCACAGATTCTGCAAGGGGTTCCCAAACTTTCGCATGGCACTGTATACACTACCATTAAAATTTTTGGGGTTAAGTTTTTTTAATGTTTTTGAAAAATCTCTCATGTTCACCAATGCTGCATTTATTTAATCAAAAATACAGTAAAACAGCAATATTGTTAAATATTATTACAATTTAAAATAAATGATTTCTATTTTAACATATATTAAAATGTCATTTATTCCTGTGATGGCAAAGCTGAATTTTCAGCATCATTACTCCAGTCTTCAGTGTTACATGATCCTTCAGAAATCATTCTAATATGCTGATTTGCTGCTCAAGATGCAGTTCATATTTTTATGGAAACTGTGATTTATTATTTTTTTGAATTCCTTGATAATTAGAAAGTGCAAAAGAACAAAACTGCATTTATTTGAAATGTTTTGTAACATTATAAATGTCTCTACTGTCACTTTTGATTTAAAACAAAAAAACATTTAAACTATATGTGCGTTTTGTATATTGCATGATGATTGCAGGGCCACCAGATATCAAAGGCAGAGCCTCTATATTCAAAGTCCATCTGAGACCACTAAAGCTGGATACAGAGTTGGACAAAGAATCTCTGGCAAGGAAAATGGCTGCTCTAACACCTGGTTTTTCAGGCACGTAAAGACTTTTTATACATTTAAGTTTCAAAAGTTGTTTATGAGATGTGAACTAAGTTTCACCGCTTACTGATTTCTCTCTGACAGGTGCGGACATCGCTAATGTGTGCAACGAGGCTGCGCTAATTGCAGCCCGCCACCTTTCTGATGCCATCAACCAAAAACACTTTGAGCAAGCCATCGAACGAGTAATTGGGGGTAAGTGACAGATGTGAAATTTGAAAATCTCACTTTAATTTTTTTTGTTAAACATTTATAGCAAACTGTGATATTAATCTATTAGAGTGCATGCATAGTTTTGGTGTGAAGTTCAGATAATTATAAGCTCCCTGCATGTTTAGGTCTTGAGAAGAAGACGCAGGTGCTGCAGCCAGAGGAGAAGAAGACGGTGGCTTACCATGAGGCTGGTCATGCTGTAGCTGGCTGGTTCCTTGAGCACGCTGACCCTTTGCTTAAAGTAAAATCCCCACTTATTCACGTGTACTTTAATACTTTGCTCTCTCAGTGTACTCCGTCATATCATTGGTCGTTTCAGGTGTCCATCATCCCGCGTGGGAAGGGTTTGGGCTATGCCCAGTATTTGCCTAAAGAGCAGTACCTGTACACCAAGGAGCAGCTGCTGGATAGGATGTGTATGACGCTGGGTGGACGAGTGTCTGAGGAGATCTTTTTTGGCCGCATTACTACAGGGGCACAGGATGACCTGAAGAAAGTGACACAGAGTGCCTATGCACAGGTCCGTCATATATTCATATGATTTCTTCATTGTCTGTTTAGAAAGTATCATTGGTGGTTCATGAATAGTAAATGGATGATTTCTGACAGTTTGATAGGATATTACTTCAATTTGTGCTGCTTTGGAAAATGTTTAAAAAAGATTATTGCTATATATTGTTTTGTTTTCTTAATAATGAACAGAATGCATTTTGAGATGATAAGACATATAGACTGCTGGTCAAAAATTTTGAATAATAAAGACATTATTTAATTTTTTAATAATGATTGAATTATTTTATTATTTAACAATTAAAACATTTTTTATTATCAGTGTTGAAAACAGTTTTTGCTGCTTAATATTTTTGTGAAAACTGTGATTCTTTACCATTCAAAGATTGGTAAGAAAAATATTCAACAAGAATGCATTAAATTGATCAAAAGTGACAGTAAAGACATTTATAATGTTACAAGATATTTATATTTCACACTTTTGTGACTTCAGAAGGTATTGCTTAATATTACACCTAAATGTGTATTTTGTTCTTGAAAATAATAACAATAATCATAATAATAAATGTTTCTTGAGCAGCAAATCAGCATATTACACTGAACTAAATTATAAACGCAACAGTTTTGTTTTTGCCCACATTTTTCATGAGCTGAACTCAAAGAGCTAAGACTTTTTCTATGTACACAAAAGGCCTATTTCTCTCAAATATTGTTCACAAATCTGTCTAAATCTGTGTTAGTGAGCACTTCTTCTTTGCCAAGATAATCCATCCACCTCACAGGTGTGGCATATCAAGATGCTGATTAGACAGCATGATTATTGCACAGGTGTGCCTTAGGCTGGCCACAATAAAAGGCCACTCTAAAATATGCAGTTTTA